ATGCAAAGCAAAACGTTGAGATCTCTGTTGTCAAAGATTCGTTAGACTCTGCTACACGTTGGAAACGTTAAATACCATAGCCAAGTTTATTTGATCAGTAAACTGTTGACTCGCTGTTAGCTCATCTCCCTGTGCGTGAATTTACTGTCTCAGAGTATGTTCAAATTGTCATCTCAGTATGACTTTAAGAGCCCAATTTTCCTGCAATCTAAAAATTAATCCTTAGAACAAACTGATGCAAAGTCCATCGTATTTTCTGAATGGAGCACTTACGGAAAGTTCAAATGGCTGGGAAATTTCTCAATTATTATTCCCCTAAAGCAACATCTCAACGTCGTTTGAACTCTGTTCTGCAAACCAGATTCAGCTGAAGCTGGACAAGATTTGATGATGGATATTCCGTTGATCAAACAATACAGTCAGGTGGAACTTGGACTTCCGAAATGTGACAATATGCCCAAGACGAATGTGTTCATAGAACTCGCTTCCAATAGGGATGAGCCAACTGCTTGAAAAATGTTGCACGATCGGGTGAGAAAAAACGGACACGAGGGTCACGACTTCAATTAATAGAGGCTTATTGATGCCAAACCCCACTGTATATATCAGCTCAAATTTATCTCCGGGGGACTTCACGTAGTCCGAACCTATGCGTCACTGTCAAAAATCAAGGAGCAAGTTCTTCTTTGGGTGCAAACGAACCAGAGCTCGGGATTGTTGCCCGGTCAAAATTTACCGTGCTCGGCAGTCGTCGAATATATTTTAGCCGCAGGTCACTGGGTTGACCAGACTTCAGCCAGCTTGTCAATCCGAAGTATGGGATTAACAGGGTGGATTTATTCAACGACAACAAACTAAGTGTACGCTCAATGAAAGACCTCCTCCTAAAGATTGTAGTGAACTGTGGTTAGATCATGTTTTACCAGTGTCGAGAGAGCCATTTACGCACCTACTATATTCTGAATAGTCTTTGCCGTAGTGCGAACGAACGACGGTTTGTCGATCCGAATATTTCGGATGACAAAAACTTTGGTTGCACAAGCCGGTCAGATTAGCAAATGATGTCCTTCTGGCTAGGAAAAAGGTAGAACTTTTCGATGACTGAGGATATTTTTGACAGGATAGCTTGTGTAGTCATTATGGAACTTGCAACCCTAAACTATTTAACCCGTTTCACCCTACCTATTGATTCGGTTCACGTAATCTCAGTAAGTAGAACCCTCACCATTGCACTAAGTTTGACTTTCCCTTCTTTATATTTAGTCCATGGCAGTCACTTCAAAGAGAACGTGAAACAGTGGCTCAAAGGAAAAAAAGCAATACTGAAGACCATGATGGTGATGATCAGGATGACTGATTGTGATGCTGTAGTATGCATTCGCCATACATGTGGACATTGGTTATGGGTATGGGGTTTTGAGATAACAGCCGTGGATAGAGTTTGCTAGATTGTTGCAACTTGCGCAAAAGTAAGCATCGCAATTTACCGCTTCCTTCACCCAAGTGGCCTACATGAACCTTAACCGGAATTACGGTTACAAGGCGACTAACTTGTAGTGCAAGCTGGATAACCTCGCAGTACAGTGTTGAGTTCAGTGTGCATGAACCCTGTCTGTATGGAATCATTTGCTCTTATCAAAGCTGCTACTAAATTAAGTCAAGATATGTGGGGTTCCTATATATGTGGATTTCCTAAATAAACCAATGTTTCGTGATTGATTCAGGAAGAACTCGAAGGGGATAGATACTATCGTAACTCTTAGAGATATGCAATCTTGGAGCACACAATGCGGGCTGGTGAATAATCTAGGTGCTGAAGAGTCAGCAGAATGTGCATATTGTTGTCACGAAAAATAGTGAAACCGACCTGCCTGAAACCTTCTGCGCCATGCTCCAAAATGTGCAGGTTTATATTAGAACGCCATCCATGACCATCAAATTGAAAAGTTCCCGTCAGACCGTGGAAGTTTTCCGGTCGAATCTGTAATAAAAGTAGCGTAAAATCGTAAGGGATTCTTTTCATCAACTGGAGCACATGTTAACTTATCGAGAAATTAGAGACAAAATAGAAACTACAACCCATGCAGTCGAGTGAGTTTGACGATAACCAACATCAAGGCTCAATTTCAACTGTAAACCAATTTGACCAGGCACGAAAGAAGAGCGAAATTTGACTTTTGCGGACACGGGAAAATCATAACTGAAGGTATTATATATATAATATNTTGAACGATAAAGTCAGCTGGTCAAGGCAGACGCAGTAGTTTCTTTAATGAGATGGCGGGATTAGAACCGTAAAGCTTTATGAAATATTGTGGTCATATATGGGACTTATAGTTTTTACGGGTGGAACGTTTGCAACAAGAGATGCATCAAAGAAATACACACATTTCAGACTCAAGCCGACGTCTCTTCTCAGCCACACAAAATCAGAAGGTTTATGAGGACTGTAATAACGTGAACGCTGAGGTATTAGTTCTAAAGTCTCAAAAAACCACTTGGCAGCTGCGTGATCTGTAGAAGTGCACACAACTAAAGTGGGTCCAAACGGGAAATTTGTCTTGTGAATTTCTGGTGGGCCATTAATTCGCTGCACTATTTTGCCAGCTGGTTTGAGATGTCGGAATGAAACCCTAAAAAGTAAATCCTTATTTCTTGGGCGTTCCATGCAGTATGTAAGCTGTTTTTATCAGGTTCGTTTTCGTTTTAAGTGAACAAACCCAAGCTGATATAAATGAGTCATGAAAAGCCGCAATCCGAATTCTGTTAAACCCTGACAGGTAGGTTCAAAACCTATTTTTACCCTTATTTTCAATGAGTTGCTAACGCAGAACTATAACTGCCGGGACAGGATAATCATGGAAGTGTGGTAAAAGCCAAATACAACAACACAGGTGTATAAAGTCCCAGCGTCAGTGCACTCAGGTTAATGAAGACGATTGTTCTTCACAAGAAGGTTAAGTTGATCCAAGTTGAGTTAACCTCAATTCGATTGAAACGTGGAATGGACGGTATTTAATTGTTAGTTTTGCAATGAATTTTCTGCTAGCTCTTCGAAACATGTGTACGCCTATATAATTTATTTAAATGGCTGCAGAAATTGACTGCCAAATGACAAGCAGCGAACCGCCTCAACCCAACTTTATTGAATATACATCATCATCATCATCATCATCATCATCATCATCATCATCATCATCATCATCATCATCATCATCATCATCATCATCATCATCATCATCA